TAAAGTTCCAGTTCATCAATAGACGGTAGCGCTCACCAGTGTTATATCCATGGGCAAGCTTGATAATCTAAGCTTTCTTCCCCACTGGTGAGATTTTCACTATGCTGTGAAGCCTCAGTTTATAGTCTAGTCTAAAATTATCTAGTGAAAGAATTGGAAATTCCGATGATACATGGATTTGTCCAAGAAGTTACTCAAGAAGTAATTCTTTTATTAATATATCAAGAACGGTCTTATACCAGGGACATAAATATGAACATACTACCCTTTCAGGAATGTACTGTCTAAACCGGACCAGGTCGCAGGAAAGACAGATGATTTTAATTCTATACAGACATAATCTTGGCCTGTTCCTGGTTGTCCTGCAGCAAAGAACAGTACACTTACCTGTACATGGTATTGAGCTTGATGAATAATCAAGAACCTCCCTCCAAGGGCACCTGGGTAGCTCAGTCAGTTAAGCATCTGCCTTAGGCTCAGGCAGTGATCTTTGGGTCCTGGGATCAAGCCCCGAGAGGCCGGCTTCCTGCTCAGTGGGGAGTCTCCCTCTCTCTCTGCCTTTCCCCCACCCCCGCTACCGGCACTGTCTCTCTCTCTCTCTCTCTCTCTCTCTCTCAAATAAATAAATACAATCTTTAAAAAAAAATTCCCTCCTTGTTCCATATCAGATTTTTATCAAAAAAATAAGCAAAATAACATCAAATGAGGGAACTCCAGTTAATCTTGGCCTCACAGCTCATGTTGTTTGAGAAGGCAGCAGAGTCCATATTTTCAACAAATTACCAGCTCCTTGTGGCAAGGGTGATTCCTGAGCCGACTAGAGGGGATTAAGCAGACCTTCTCATACCAGTTATCACTGGTCAGTTTTAAACTTCGTTTCAGTTATTCTTCTTTCCTTTCTCTTCTCTGTAATTCTCACGGTACCAAAAAATGCTGTGTATTCAGTCTCAGGGCGTTTGTTTTGTTTCAGTCCTAGAAATACCTGGCTTCTGGGGCACGTGGGTGATTCAGTCACTTAAGCATCTAACTCTCGGTTTTGGCTCGGGTCTTGATCTTAGGGTCTTGAGGTGGAGCCCTGCGTCAGTCTCCACACTCAGTGGGGAGTCTGCTCCAGATTCTCCCCCTTGCTCTGCCCCTCCTCCCATTCATGCTTGTGCATACTTGCTGTCATACTTCCAAGTATGCTTGTGCATACTTGCTGTCTCTCAAATAAATAACTAAGAAAGAAAGAAAGAAAGACCTGGTTTCGGCTCAGTGGCTAACTAATGTTGGTCCAGCTCAGCACCATTCGGGCTCCAATCTCACCACAGCAGCCTGGCTCTTTCTGTCCCATATCTTTCTACAGAATCAGTCCCATTTACATTTATGGGACGAGTCCTTAGTCCTAAACTCTGGTCTCATTTGCATAGAAGGGAGTTAAGATTATTGTACCTGTATTTTCTGAACATGAAGCATCTTTAAGTACCCTTTTCCTCTCATAACCCTCTCAGGAAACCTCTTTATTTTTTAAAGATTTTTTATTTATTTATTAGAGAGAGAGCAAAGCCTTCAAGAGAGAACATGAGTGGAAGGGGAGGGGTGGAGGGAGCGGGAGAAATCAGACTCACCGCTGAGCAGGGAGCCCAATGCGGGGCTCGATCCCAGGACCCTGGGATCATGACCTGAGCCGAAGGCAGAGGCTTAACCCACTGAGCCTCCCAGGTGCCCCAAGAGACCATCTCTTTAAATAGTAAGAGGAAGCAACTCTTGGAATAAAATTGTGGTAGTCCTGCAGTGAACTTTTAAAAGGAGTATTGCTTTTCTTTAATTGCCTATAGTTACATCTTGCTGATATATATTTTCAAACAACCAGTCCCTATAATTTCACATCGCATTCATTGCCTATAACTGACTCATTATTCCTAATTACAAACCAGCACACACAACATGGAGATCTGAGGCAATTATCTGGATGACTTGGGCCCTGAAGCTCATTTCAGTGGAAAGACTGTGGGTCTTGAAGTAAGAAGGCCTACGTATGAGCCCCATCTTTGTCCCTAACACCCATTTGATGTCTAGCAAGTGACATGATCTCTCAAGGCCTCTGTCTTATCATTTGTAAGGTGATACAGCGTTTGGGTTATCAACTCCTAGTGACTTAACCGTCTTTCTTTGCTTGCCCCTTCCAAGATGGATCCTTCACCAGCACATCTGTGCCTTGTTGCTCCTTGGCCTCTCTCTCCATCCCCATGGCTTCTCATCCTCGTAGGCCTCTTCCTGTACCTTGGCTTTCTCACAGTGTGGTTTCCTGAGGATAGTCACATTTTTTTTTACATGGCAGCTGACTTCCAAGAAGAAGGAAACAAAAGATGCCAGGCCACTTAAGAGCTAGATTCCAGACTGGCTAAACTTCACCCCGGGTGTACTGTGTTGTTTAAAGCAATGGCAAGACTTGTCCAGATTCAAGGCTGGAGAAACAGACTCCACCTCTTGATGAGGGAATGCCAAAATCACATTGCAGATGAACATGTGGGATAGGCCCAAAAATCTCGAACTGACTTTCTCAGAAAAAATGCATATGTATGTTGTCATAAATGAATTGTCAGTGTTACTTATGTAAGGGATGTTTAGCACATAGTTCACCATTGGAAATAAATTATACTGTACTTTTTTTTTTTTTTTGCAGATTCTGTATCTCAACTGGTTCTAAAAGAATGCTTTCATTAACTTTTGTCAGACTCTTAGATTGATAGCCAACCTACTATTGAGAATAAGGACTTTGCCTTATTTGTCTGAGTCTCCTTCAGTGATGTTATCTTCTTGCACAAAGTAGACTCTATAAATAACAGTGAAGGAATTGTTAGTCTCAATCATAAACTAAAATCTATTTCTTCTTTCGGAAGTTTCACAGTAAGTGTACAAAGCACTTTCACGTATGCTTTTAATGGAGCTTTAAAATACTGTGAGGAATCCTCATCCCCATTTTCCAGAGGGGGAAAACAGGTTTTGGAGCAAAATAATTCACTGAGGGTCCTACTGCTATTGAAGGCAGAGGTGAGGCGGCAACCCATGACTTCCAACACCAAGTGTATCTAGTAACATCTTACATTCAGAGAAGAAATTTAAAATGAACATGGAGACAAGATTCTCTGGCACTACCCATATTAAAAAAAAACTTCATTTCGGGGCGCCTGGGTGGCTCAGTGGGTTAAAGCCTCTGCCTTCGGCTCAGGTCGTGATCCCAGGGTCCTGGGATCGAGCCCCGCGTCGGGTTCTCTGCTCCGCGGGGAGCCTGCTTCCTTCTCTCTCTCTCTGCCTGCCTCTCTGCCTATTTGTGATTTCTCTCTGTCAAATAAATAAAATCTTTAAAAAAATAAAAAACTTCATTTCAAGGAAGTCTTTCCAATAGATGCTAACTAGAGATTGGTATTATAGGGCGTATTCACTGTTTTCGGCTCTGGGGTTAGGTATCAATATTTACAGTGAGTACGACAGAGTTTCCTCACTGTGCTCTTCCTTGTGAGACAAGGTGGATGGTCTTACCACAGCCGACCTGGGCCCACAAGTGTCTCTCTGCTTGCTTCATCTCTTTCAAAACCTAGTAGCAAGAATTATTGCCACAGTTTCCAACCGCAGGTTCCCCATAGAAAGTACAGAGGCTGAGGAATACAAGTAGGGAGATGTGAGCAGTGTATGACTGCAGGATTTAAATATAACCCAGACAAGCCTGTTGGGGGAAAGCTTGTATATCGCAGAGTAACAGTCGGTGATGGGAGGAGGCCGGGGAGAAGCCTCAAGGCTTCCTTCTGTCTTTTCCCTTTTTCTAAAATTCATCATTTTCCAACCACAAACTAGATTTTCTTATCTCTCAGCAAAGTCATTCTCTGTGGTTTGCACTATTCTAAGTCTGGGCTGAAGAGTCCATCTCTCAGAGATTAGGTTATGGGGATGTTTTTATTAATAATTTTACTTCACGTGAGGGAATCTTCTTAGTGGAGAAATTAGGAAATAAAGATAAGCACAAAGTTGAAACCAGAAACCATCCGTGATACAGTCACCGTTGTTAATAGATAACTGATGTTAATGTTTTGATGATTATCTGTTTTTCAACCTAAGGGACATAAGCATCTCTTCAAACCCCAACATCTATGTGACATGGGTTATGTGTTTGTTATGTGGTAATAGTAATCACATCCGATTAGTACATTTTCTTTGAGTGGCTTTAAGTGCTGTGCTGAAATTTTTCATTCTGATTGTCTGAATTTTCAATATTAAAGAATAAATAAGCAACTGCCTTCTCAGTAGTTCTATGGCAGTTGGTCAAAGCCACGTTGCTGTGGGTGGTATGAAATGCAGAACTTTCACAGGAAAATGATACTGTTTCTCAGAAAATCTTGCGGTGCCTGGGTGGCTCAAATGGTTAAGTGTCTGCCTTCAGCTCAGGTCCTGATCCCAGTGTCCTGGAATCAAGCCCCGCATGGAGCCCCACATCAGGCTCCCTGCGAGCAGGGAACCTGCTTCTCCATCTCCTTCAACTGCTCCCCCTGCTTGTGCTCTCACTCTCTCTGTCAAATAAATAAATAAAAACTTAAAAAAATAAAGGTGCTTTCCCGTAGCACAGACATACTCATCATGGTGTCAGATGAGGAAGGAAAGAAAGAAGGAAGAAAGGAAGGAAGGGAGGGAGGGAGGGAAGAAGGGAGGAAGGAAGGAAGAAAATCTTATGACCTGGACTATTCTTGTGGTCCTCAAGGGTGGGGGATGTATGTGACTCAGACCAGGCCCCAGGAGGAGTTTAGCGAAGGCCTTCTTCCTCTCCTCCTTATCAATGACACTTCAAGGAATTCTGCCCTGGTTTTAGTATATTACATTTTTCTTACCTTTACCTAATAGAAATTAGGACTCTCTTTTTGCAAGACATTTCTTAAGAGAATGTCTGCTTTGTTGATGGTGTGTAGGCTGAGGAATTATGTGACTTAAGCAACAATTCTGTTTATCTTTTTTTTTTTTTTCCTATTTAGGCAGCAATAAGGAAAGAACTAAATGAATTTAAAAGCACAGAAATGGAAGTTCATGAAGAGAGTCGACAGTTTACAAGGTAGGTGGGCAAAATGAGGTTTGGCATATTTTATGTTACGTGTATTTTATCACAATCAAAAGAATTTTTTTTAAAGACAGATGAGCATAACACCATCTAATGAACATTTTTAAAATTAAGTATTTTTTTTCTTTCTTTCACAGAAGTCTGAATCACTCCAAAGGGCAATGTTCTGGTTTCTTTCTTAGTCTTATTTTCTGGGCCAGGAGACAAGCATTAGAATCATTCATTCTGTTCTTGAAGAGGCTCAGTTGAAGTTTTATGCTCAAAACAGATGCTGGTGAGAGCCACTATGGGCACGTGTGTGTCTGCTTTGGGCTCACTGTAGACATAACTTAGAGAAGATAGAAACTCAATTTTCAGAAGACCTAACTTAGACTAGGAATCTAATTTTTACTGCTTCTGCCGAAGGTTACAGCAATCCTACCCTTTTTCCTCCTAGTACCCTTGGGTTTCAGTTTATTCTTGTGCTAAAACCAGAAGGGACCTGCGTGATCATGTAGTCTGACCACCTGCTTCTTCACAGGTGTTCTGTTTCTTTCTCTCTAATGGGTTTATGTGCTTTGCTTTTTTATAACATGTATGTTCCTAAAATTGTGCATGCCAATTAAATCCCAAAAAATTAAATTGCTAACAAACATACCAGGACAGATGATTACATGAAGAAGACCACAGTAGGTCTTTCAGGAAAGCAAATAATGATTCCCTAGGCTTGAAACAGCCTCAACTAGGCATACACCCTAGTGCTACTCTCTCTGCTCTGGTTCCTGTTGGTGGTGGTGTTCTATGCTCATAGCATGTCCTATGATAAAGGAAGTAATGGTATAACTTCATAATGTAATAGCAGGTCCCTCCGCTGAAGTTGGTAGAGACCTCCTTGCTCCTGTGATAATGTTTGGCATGCAGAAGAAACTCCCCTTTCTTCTGGGGGAGTTGTATTTGTCTTGCTTCCTCCTATATCATGTTTATTTGTAAATGCATTCAGGGCTCTTAGCCATCTGGATGTATAGGATTTTTCTCTATTTGGGGTCTGCTTCTAATCCTAATTGACTTGGACCAGTCACATGGACAGATCAAGCCAGACCTACTGTCTGCTCCTTTTCTCCCTTCCACTTGCGGGGTCAGGAAAAGTTCATGTTGATATTTGACACCTGTGGTCCCACATCTCCAGTAAAGTTGATCATAATAAGGTGGCTGAATATTTATGGTGACATTGAGTTGGTGGGGACCTCCAGGTAACTGAACGGATAACATGCACGTGTTCGTGCCTTTGAGTCCTGACCCCTGAGATAGAGTGACTGCACTCAACCTACTCTTTATAATTCGGGATCATTTGACTTCTGCATAGTTTTCCTAGAATTCATAGTATCTGATTACCTAATTATCATTTGATAACATTGGAAGAATAAATGAAAATAGAAAAAAATCAAATTTTTTAAAAATACATTTCTATGGAAGTTCCAGTTTATGAAAAATAAACATTTATACTGAAAGAGGTTCTTTCTCTTCTGTCGTATATTATGAACAAGTGAAAAAGAAAAGGTTTCAAGGAGAGTAAAGGCCGTTTACCTGTCCTCACAGGTAATCAGTGGTTAAAGTTCAGTGTAGATCCTAGTAGACATTTTCCTGTGTATTTACAAACATGTAGATGTATATATATGATCTACATGTATGTACACATATGCCTTTATGTACACTCTGAGTCACACACAAAACCGCATCTAGAAAATTTTTCCATATAAGTGTCTATCTTTCATTTGAATGACTTTGTGGCATTCTATAGATAATATACCATAAGTTATTAATCAATTATTCTATTGATAGATGTTATGGAATTTTCAGTGTTTCATTAGTAAAACAGTGACTTGACTTTCTTTATAAATACGTCTTTTTGGGGGCACCGGGGTGGCTCAGTCAGTTAAGCATCTGCTTTCGGCTCGGGTCATGATCCCAGAACCCTGGTATAGAGCCCCGCATTGGGCTCCCTGCTCAGCTGGGGAGACTGCTCCTCCCTCTCCCTCTGCCTTCCACTCATTCTGCTTGTGTACTCTCTCTCTGTCAAATAAATAAATAAACATTTATTATATATAAATATATGCATATAAATAAATTTTTTAAAATGTCATTAAAATATATAGATATCTTTGTGCACACATGCCAGTGTTTCTGTACTAGTAACATGAGTGGATTCGCCAGGTCACTGGATTTATGTTTTTTACATTTTAAAAGATGCTATTCTGTGACTTGCAGTTTATGAGCATGCCTCGTGTATCACCTCATCAGCACTGGCGGGACAGGATGGTGGTGGTGGTGGTGGTGAGGGGTCTATAGTCTAAAAACTGAACATTGATTTCTATAAGGTTGAGCATCCTTACATATCTTTATTGACCATTTATTTTTAATTTTTGATTTACTTTGACCAGTTTTCTTTTGGGTTGTCTTTTTCACATGAATTAGTAAAAACTCCTTAGATGTTGTGGATATTGGCTCTTTATTACATATGCCACCATACTTTTCCTCAATTTGTTCTTAACGTTTTAACTTTTTTGTATGGTCTTTTGTTTAAATTTTTGCACATTCAAATGTGTCTATATTGTTACTTTTACTTCATTGTTTTGTGTCTTACAGAGGAAGACCAAGGTTATAAATCTATTCTCTTCAATTTTTATATATGCCTTTTTTTTTTTTTTTTTTTTTTTTAGCGCTTAGATCTTTCATCCATTGGGCATTTTATTTGTGTGGGTGATTTAAGAGAGTAAACTAACTTTACTTTGTTCTAAATCAATAGTTAGGATGAATGGATAAATGAGATGTGGCATATGTATACAATGGAATATTATTCAGCCATCAAAAAGAATGAAGTCTTGCCATTTGCAATTACATGGGTGGAGTTAGAGTGTATTATGCTAAGTGAAACATGAATGGAGCGAGAGCATAGTATTATGCTAAGCAAAACAAGTCAGTTAGAGAAAGCCAAATACCATGTGATTTCACTCATATGTAGAATTTAAGAAACAAAACACATGAACATAGGAGAAGGGGAAAAAAGAAAGAGGGAGGCTTTTAAGAGACTCAACTATAGAGAATGGACTAAGAGTTGATGGAAGGAGGTGGGTGGGGGATGAGCTAGATGGGTGATGGGCATCAAGGAGGGCATATGTTATGATGAGCAAGTGATAACTCATTAAATTCTGCTCCTGAAACCAATATTACACTATATGTTGACTAACTAGAATTTTAATAAAAACTTGAAACAAAAATAAAGAAAGGAATCAGTAGTCAGTTGCCCCATTTATTTCCGCCTTGATGTGAAATTCTTCTCATATACACATGGATCAGTTCCTGTATTCTTTATTATGCTCTAGTGATCTGTTTCCTGTCATTGCACTGTGTCACACTGTTCAATTAGAATAGATTTATAGTGTGTTTTTATATCTGGTAGGGCATTTTTTTCACCTTCAAAATTCCATTGGCTATTTTTCTGTATTTACTCATCTACAGAAATTTAGAGTATACTTGTTGTATACTATAAAAGTCTATTGATATCTTTATTGTTTAAGTAAATATTAATAGATGTAAATAGGGATAAGCTGCATTTTAAGAGAAAATGATATGCTTTTTTTTTTTTGTAACAAGAGTAAGCTTTAAAAGTTTTCCAAAAAATGTATTGATTACTACTATTTAAAATGTCTATCCAGATAAGGAAAAATTAAATATTCATATAACTAAGATAAATATGCCTTGCTTAAGTACTCTTTAAAACCTGGCAGCAAAGCCAATGTCTGCTGCTAGTTGTCCATTAATTTGTATTACGTCATTAGAGTTGCATTCCAGTAGAGAAATCTTTTGGCTCTCAGACTTGTAAAAATCGTGCTTACGATTTTCAAATTGTTTTCAGGATTTCTTTTAAGAAGATAAAGTTTTGGTAAACATTGTTGAGTCTAATCAAAATAATACCAAAATATGGTAATGTTTTACATTTAGAAAATTGTTTATGGAGAAGATACTGTTGCTCTTAGCACCAGCCATCCTTGAAGGGAATATACAGGTTGTGGATCATCACTTAGCCCTTTAAATGCAATCTAGATAGAGAGCAGCTCACTTATTAGCTCTTCTTATTAGTGCCAGACATTATCTCCTTATATCAAGTAAGCCTGCCATTCAGAACCTAAATCTGTTAATTCCCTGTGGGATTTAGGTGGTTCATAGAAAGGTTGAGGCAATCCTACGCCTTCTGCCCAGACATCTCTTTATCCAGAGATAATCTTCCACACAGCAATGTATCAGTGGACACTGGAAAGATCCATTCCCATACAGATCTTCCCATGTGTCTGTATCTCTGGAGAGATTCACAAAAAGCTGGTAACATTGGTTGCCTCTGGGGAGGAGAATTGGTGGGTAGGGGCAGGCATGAAAAGGAGGCTTTCCACTCTATGAATTTTTGAGATACAAGAATTTATTATCAGAAACAAATATTTAAAAGAAAAATAAAGGTTCCATTTCCTAAGTCCTCTTTCTGTAAATGAGGATCCCATCATGCTAGCTTTTCTTAAATAATGTGCCAGCACTAAAATTAATTGTGACATTTTCGTTACTGGTGTATCCAGAAGACACATCTGAAACCGCCAGCATGGGATATATTCTGTGACATGTTCGATCTGGCGCAGTAAAGAATTATAGCCATCCACCCTTTTCATCTGATGCCCCTGGTTTCTCCCAGCAACTTTTAGCTAGCTCTCTGGCATTGCAATGCATTCTGGGGCCACGTAGCAGGGGTGAGGAATAGTGGTGCCCATGAGACTTCATCCTGGAGCATGAGAGGTTCCAAGCTCTAACCCCAGCTTCTTAGAACACTCAATGCCTGTCCGGCCACATCCTGTGTTTTCTGCCACCAACAGCTGCCCACCCAGCCCACCGTTCAAAACCCAGAAGACCATTTGAAGGGCAGTGTATTACTTAATAGGATTATTGCATTCTGGGAGGAGACCACCATGGCAAAATAAA